ACAGATGATGAAGTAATACATAAAGTATTGGCTAATATTCCACAAATGTTATCTAATGTTCAACGCTAATGCCAAACTATTTGGGTAAAGACACATATACTTGTAATTGAATGCCTCACTAAGCACGTTATAAATGATAGCATAAATTATACACTAAAAGAAACTACATTCTCAAAATAGGGGGTAGCCTAACATTTGTTATTATTCACCTTTTCGTTAGTAGAGTATTATGACGTAAATTATAAAATAGCATATTCTTTAAATTAATGAAAAAAAATATTTCTGATAATTTTAAACAGTCAAGTTAAGCTGTCTTTAATAGAAACTAATATCAGTAGATCTCCTACATAAGCATACCAGTTCTGATTTGTAAATGGAAGTATTAATTTTGAGAGGAGTAGAAGAACGTGTATATTAGCTCATATACTTTTCGATGTTACATCAAACATTTTTTATGTTTGTTGAACAGTTAGCTATATCTAAGTATGTCAATCTTGATGGAGTTTTGTTCTCTGAGCTGGATGATTTGGTCGTGGATCTTTCATTGTTCTTCTAAACGACATCATCAGCACAAACTTCTAACTCAGAGAACAAAACTCCACCAAAATCACCGACCTGAGCTACAAATATTCTACACCATCTCAAGTATGTCAATCACAAAACACCACGCTAGGTACATTAGACGGTAAATGTAAACCTAAATCCACTGCTTTTGATCCTATAAACAAGAAAACTAAAGAATTGTATGAGCATATTGATAGTTATGGGTCCAAGTTACTCTCGACTGATCTCGTTCCTGATGTGACGTTTACTGATTAAATAAGACTTCAGAGGAACTATATTATGTCACTGAGTTTGAGTGAATCGAAAGACTCCCTTGAAGCCGTTTATCCGCTTTATTACTCACTTACTTACGCCTGTTACTCCCAATGAAGCATAGGCCGCCGACCACCATTCTCCAACCCACTGTGTCCTGGGCCTTCCTTTCCACTTCTGTACAATTTTTCGTTCATTTTTCTCATGTCTGTCTCCATTTCTCGGCGTAATGTGTTCTTTGGTGTTCCACTTCTCCTTTAGCCTTGAGGATTCCGTTTGGGCGCTTGTTTTGTGACGCAGTTGGGTGCTTTCCTCAATGTGTGTCCTATCCACTTCCAGTGCTTCTTCCTGATTTCTTCCTCCACTGGGATCTGGTTTGTTTTCTCCCGCAGTTGGTTGTTGCTAATAGTGTCCGGCCAACGGATCCGAAGTATTTTGCGTAGACAACTGTTAATAAACACCTGTATTTTCTGGATGATGGCTTTCGTAGTTCTCCAGGTTTCCGCCCCATACAGTGGAACTGTCTTCACATTTGTATTGAAAATCCTGACCTCGGTGTTTGTTGACAGTTGTTTTGAGTTCCAGATGTTCTTCAGTTGTAAATATGCTGTTCTTGCGTTGGCGATCCGCGCTTTCGCATCTGCATCAGATCCACCATGTTCATCAATGATGCTGTCCAAATATGTCACGGTTTTACATCTTCCAAATCTTCTCCGTCAATTGTGATTGAATTGGTGCATGCTGTGTTGTATCGGAGAATCTCGCTTTTCCCCTTGTGTATGTTGAGACCTACTGCTGCTGCTACACTGGTCGTCTTCTCCTGCATTTGTTGTTGCGATTGCGATAGGAGGGCCAGATCATCTGTGAAGTCTAAATTGTCCAACTGCATCCTAGCTGTCCACTGTATCTCATGCTAACCCCAGATGTTGACGTCTTCATGATCCAGTCGGTCACGAGAAGAAAGAGGAAGGGTGAGAGTAAGCAACCTTGCCTGACACCGGTCTTTACCTTGAACGAGTTTGTCAACTGTCCTCCATGCGCGATTTTGCGCTTTAATCTATCCGCTTTATTAGCCCGTGAATAAATAAACATCAAAATTGAGCTTCCGTTGTTGAAAAGGTAATAAAATGAAGGAGTATATGGTGGTTGTAACTTGCATTTGATATTCCGAAGTTTATAAGCGATTTTCTACAATTCAAAATTATTTTTCTTCGAAAAATCTAAGTAAAAAATATCTATGAAGGAGATCTAACACCGAACGTACAAGAACTCAACAACGTTCATATATTTTCATAGACCAATGAACCACTTAGAATCAACAACGTGGTACCGAAACACCAATTTTTACGATACACTTATATTCACTATAATATTTCTTTATGAGTTCACTTTGAACAAAGTCAGTCAGCTACAACATAGGACCAGGCAAATATATTCATTGGTCCAAGTTGCCATACCTTATTAGCACAACAAGATGAACACGAAATTCATAGAAGCAGTCACTTCAAAGGTAGTAACATATAAAAAAGACTACATATAAGGATATGATACAGGGAGAAAGAAAGGTATGAAGTAATTTCAGTCTCACGATTTAAGGAAAGACAGTGTATACATCTACTTCATTGTGGTCGATTCTGAGCCATGTCACCAAGAGTCTCCAACCATTGGTTACGATAGTCACGCGGACGCCAACTGAAGTATTCTGAATCCACCAACATGGCTCAGATCAGAAGTTAGTGACTTCAAGCACTGGTGCCACGTTTTGGTTTGGCCGCCCCTAACTTTCTTCCAACCATCCCCAACACCAGTCATCATTGTATGTCGTGGTAATCGGCGCTCAGGTACACGTAACACGTGACCCAACCATCTCAGTCGATGAAGATTCAAAATCTCATCGACTGACATACCATCATTTCTTAATATAGTGCGCCTAACCTCACTATTACTTACCCGATGATCCCAGAAGATGCTGCCAATATTCCTAGGACATCTGCTATCAAATACTAATAACTTACGAGTATCTTCTACTCTTAATGACCACGTTTCGCAGTCGTAAAGTAGAAGAGAACGAACTGCCGAACAGTATACTCGTCCCTTAATTGATAGACGGATATCTCGCCTTCGCCATAGTTGACGTAAGTTAGCAAAAGCCAAACGAGCTTTTCGAATCCGTGCGGAGATTCCTTCAGATACCAAACCATTAGGGCTGATCAGACTTCCAAAAACAAAGAAACAAGTTCTTAATAAAATGTTTCTGAGATCTACACCATAAGACTGTTTATGCGACGTGACTGACGTTTTCACCATGTGATAAAATAAACTTTTTCTTATCCAAACTGAGCGTTTTTCAGTTCTAATTAAAAGTAACCTTAAGAAATCTATTCAAAGAGTAAATGATGATTCGCACTACATTTTGAAGTTTATGCAAAGAACTCAAAGTTGCTAATCTGGTTGGTTATTTATAGGTAATAAAGTTTAACCACTATTTTATTGAAGGTAAGCTCTGTACAGTTCTACTGTACGGAGCTGAAACTCGAAGAACTAAGACAACCATCATCAAAAAGGTACAAGTATTTATAAACAATTTTCCACCCAAGGTACTCAATGTCCGTTGACTGGATATCATCAACAACAGCCTGCTGTGGGAGAGAATAACCCAGCTTCCAGTTAAAGAGGAAATTAGGAAAAGACACTGGAAGTGGATAGCACATACATTGTGGAAATCATCAAACGGCATCACAAAGCAAGCGCTAAATTGGAATCGTGAAGGGAAACGGAAAGGAGGAAGGCTAAAGAACACTGCGTCTGGAATTGGAAGCAGACATGAAAAAGATCAATAACAACTGGGAAGGATTGTGCAGGACAAAGTTGGATGTAGAATGCTGGTAGGTGGTCGATGCTCCTCCACGAGAGGTAACAGGCGTAAGTAAATCGAATAATCTACATCTGTTGGGTATCACAATGTGTTTTATTCTATATAAAGCAATCAGAAATAAAATGCTTACAAAAGAAAAATATGAGCAGTTTTATTTAGTTCTCGTAACTGTTGTGTTTCTATTTGGTGCACTTATTCTCCAACTGTTTCATTAGTGGTAATACCGTAAGTTAATGTTACACGAATCATCGAAAACACTTGTATTTCTTTATTATGATTCATAATTACCCCAGCCATTTCCTTCTAACCAAATAGAGTTTAGGAATTTTGTTGTAATCATCAATCATTTGGAGTATCACTACCTTTCTTCGATCATTGGTCGACAGTCGGTATTTCATAGTCTTAATGATTATAAATTCGCGATACACAAAACTGGTGACAAACCAAACAATAAAATAAATTCATCTTATCATGCGAATCTTATTCCCTTTTCGTCACTCATTTTTCCTGTGAAAACAAGATGTGATTGAATGTAACGAAGTCCCTTATCAACCCCCCCCCTAGCTAATACGATTCGAAGGCTTTAACATTTTATGTACATGGGTATTTGCTTCTTAATTCATTTGATGAGACATATTATTGGTAATTATTATGGATGGGAAAACTAGTGATATTTTAAACCGGAGGAATTAGAAGGCGACCATCACCATGTACTAATATCATTGAATTAACAGGAGGGGTTTGAATAACTCGATAGATTCCGTTTTTGGATTTAGTATGATCACCAGTTATGGATGTATCGGGATTCAAATATATTCATACAACACAGATAATACTTGAAATCCTCAAAGAATGTGTTATCGATATTTTGAAACGTTGTTTACGTTTAGTGGACCTAGTGATTAAATGGCAATAAGATTAAAAAGTCTTAGACAAAATGGCTGTTCTATAACATATGTGTCAAAGCTTACCATAGCTTTAAACAAAAAGTTGGGGGAAAGTTAAGAATGACTAGACCTGGATATATTAGCAGTTCATGAAATTATATAGCCTGTTGGTTTCCAGTCATTTAAACATAATCCGCCCGGAAACAGTAGATGTTCGTACACTACTGAGAAATATAACAATTTTAACTGATGTACTCCATACAATACCATGACCAAATTTGTCTGTTGAATAACATTACTCAATAATTTTAGAAATGGATATCCCAGAAGAAGACTAAGAAAGTCCTTAAAAAACGGCATGAATTTTCGTGCACTGGTCTAATTCGAAATTTCTGTTAATAACTTTATATTTGAAGGGAGCCATAATTATCAACATTTATTAGGAAGGATAAGAGAAGGAATTACTTAGTCGTTTAAGTTTCATTTGTTTAGTACTCGCTCAGTATATATGTATAACAATGAGTAGAATATTCAACTCAATTAAACCCCTTGAATTATTTATTGCTTACTTCCGATTTGTGTAAAAGAAAAAGAATCGCGTAACTGAAGTATACAAAAGCAATTAAGTTATGCATCGATAATAATTCATTTAAATATTGACAGAATAATTTAACGTTTAATGCGTAGTTGACATGCTCCGATAAATAACGGATTTCAGTAATACCAAACCTTTCATGAAATTCTATATTCCAAGCTAAATCCAAGCATGCAGCACACCAATCAACTGCTAGAACGAATGAAATCGAAGTGATGTATATGAGGAAATTTTCAAAATCTCAAAAGAGACACACATGTCGTTTAACTTATGAAAGTACCAATTTTTACTGAGATATGTAAAAATTAAAATGATGAGTATCCAAAAGATCAAAATGCTTGATCCCATCGTTAGTTATCAATAGACTGTTAAAACGCAACCGAAGTCACAGCGCTCCAAATTACATTGAGGGCGGAACGTCATGCAATATTATGGGGAAAAATACTATCATCATCAGGAAATAAAAGCTTTTTAATCCAGATAATAATTATACGGGATGAAAGAAAATATTAAGAAAGAAAACTACAACTGTACAAAACAAATTCGTGATATGGTAAATGTACAAACAAACATGATAAAAGTAGAAAGAAATCTAGTTCATATGATCGCAGACTCATTAGACTTAGAGTCCAGTAGACAAATGACTTTAACATTTATAACCATGATCATAATCAAAACATACAAATTCATAAAAGTGTGAATAAGGAATTACCAAATCACATTGTTTGAATTGGGAAGTTGAAAACAGGTAAGGAATTTCACTAAATGATTTGTGCTTAGTTCAACGACCGGACCATCACTATGACAACCATTACCAAGAGACTTTAGCGAAATTATGGATCGTTCACCAAAGAACAATTCAAATAGAATAAATACAATAGAAATAAGTAAAAAGATTAAGAGGCATCTTCCGAATGACCGTTTATCGATACTGAATATAAAATGTGGTAAAATATTAGAATAAGTTTGTGAGAAAAGTGTGTAATACAGTGAACCGTGAAAAGAACGTGAGCGTAAATGACCAACTGCAGTATCGAGATAATAGTTGTCCAACTGTATCGAGTCATTTGATGAGATCATACTGTCAATCACTTCTTTGTCTTTTTCTACAATAAAAGGAATAGTTGAATCAATTAAGTGTTGTTTTGCATGGCAAATTGACAAGTGTTTTGTTTTAACTATAATTGCATTTGATTTGTTAATTATTGCCGATTCTAAATCACGAATCATAGTTAGAATTTTCTGACGAAGCTCACAAGAAAAATGAATTAAATTGGTAATGGAGCATTTTGATATATTGACATCCAATTCTTTACCATGATGATCATGACTATCATGCTGTACAAGAATGTTTGATTTACAGGAAAATTTCCAGAAGTCATTGAATAAGTAACATGAACCCAAACGTGACTGGATAGTCCATAGATTTTCATTTAAATCCTAAAAAAGAAGTATAAATTTGTAAATTATATTAGGTGAGAAAGGAAACTAGCAACACCAAATGTAAATTATCATTCGCTACCAAAATTCATATTCAATGTAAAAAAGTGACTATTCCAAATAACATAAAATCTAAACAAGTTCTAAGAGGAACTCAAAGTAAATTTTAGTCATTTAGTCTTTTATTACGACAAGTATGCTAGGCTGAAAAAGTTCTTTGTCACTAAATAACTAGAGAGATGGAATCAATCTAAACCATGTAACAGTGGATATTTTTTAATGCTTATTTTGAGAATATTGTGGTCAGGTTTGTTTACGTATATTCAAAGTATTAAATGGTAGAAGTATAGACAACCGCGGTGAGTTGATGACTGACGAAACCTCAGCAGGTATACCGAAAGACCGTTTAGTATTTGCTAACTTGTGCCACATTTGGTGTAGGGGAGATATCCATGTTTCAATTAAGAGGTAAGTATATTGAACAGATATTTGCTCTGTATTCTTGTGTGATGGTAGAAGACATAATTGAGTTTCAAGTAAATGATCAAAAGCAGTTTAAAAGCAATGCCTGTACATGATGAGCCGATTTAGCAATATCGAAGTTACCTGTAAGATACCAGGTAAGAAAAAGGCAGGTCTGATGATAAGGTCATAACTTTTATTATCGGAGGTAGTTAGAATATGTTATAAATCCCTGAAGACAACCTACAATCAGTCAGTCAACAACGTAGAACTTCTTACGTACGTACATCAGTTCGAGTAGCCATACCACATTAGCACAAAGGTACAATTGTCGATTCAAATCCCACAGCACTAGAGGTAGTAAAAGTATAAGCAGTAATCGGAAATATTAGGGTTTGAAGATGTTATTCAAGGAGTATAATACAGTGAAATAAATCTGGAAAGAGAAAAAAGAAACATGAAGAACTCAGGAGATTAGAATTTGGGAGAACACAAAGAGTGGATGCACCTGCGCCATTGTAAACGATTTTGAACCATGTCATTCAAGGTCTCTAACCATCGATTGCTATCATTTCGCGGATCTCAACCAGGAAGTCTACACCTACCAACATGGCTCAGTCCACTTGTCAATGACTTCATGGATTTGTGCCATGATTTGGTTTGGCCAACAACCCACTCTTAAGTTCAATGTCGACGGACATGAGAGTAAGACAGAAATAGAGTTAGGGAAATTAGGAAATGACATCAGATCATGAAGTCACTGACCTCTGACCTGTTCTTGCATATATATATATAGTTATCATTGATAACCATTGTCATTCCAATCCTTTACAATCACTTATGTCAATTGTTCCATACTATTCCTTATCTTAATGTAAAATTCTAATACATATTTGGTTGTAAGGATCTGCGGAGAAACCACGAAATATAATGAATTCATATTATTGTGCATCAATAGTTGTTCTGGCTTTATTTGAAGTCACTGACCGACGAGGAAAAAAAATTCAAGATGCCCATATCAGATGACCAGCTTAGCCGAATACTACAACAACAGCAAGCACAACTTGATGCACAAATGCGGTTGTTGGAGACTCTGACCCAACAGCTTAACATCCACTGTTCGAGTTCATATGCTGTTTCAAGTACGTCTTGTGATGCAGTTGCTAGCAGCATCCCAGAATTCATCTATGATCCCGAAAGTGGAAATACTTTTCTCACGTGGTTCAAACGTTGGGAAGATACATTTAGACGATGCGTCGAAGACTCGACTGTTGGTACGTAAGTTGAGAAGCAATGAACATGCACGTTACACTGACCATATATTGCCAAAGTTACCTCACAGCTCAGTTTCGAGGAGACGGTAATTCAATTGTCAGAGATATTCGGTGAGTCATCCTCATTGTTTAGTATTCGATATCGGTGTCCAAATTTGGTGAAACGCGAAGCTGATGAATATGATGTTCTAGCAGACATCGTCAACAGAGAGTGTGAACGGTTCAAGTTACGCTCGTTGACAGAAGACCAATTTAAATGCTTAATATTCATCAAAGCTCTTTAGTCACCACAAGATGCTGAGATCAGGACTAGACTTTTGGCTCGATTGGATCAAGACCCAAACGTCACACTCAGAACATTGACAAATGAGTGTAAGCGGCTACAAAGCATCAGACACGACGAGTTGATTGAACAGGCAAATCCTAATTTAACCTGCAGTAGTGTCAATGCTATTACTATGTTAAAAGTTCAGAAGCCGATAACAACTCGTAACAAACCAACGACTAAATACTGGTTATGTAGTGATTGGCACTATGTCGGATTGTGTCGATTTAAGAAGCATAAATGTCAGATGTACAACAAACGTGGACATAAAGAAGGTCATTGTCCACCGAATCGTACGCCTCAGCCCAAGAAACGTAAACGTCCTCGACACACCAGATCCTACGAATCTGCTCAAAGGGGAGGTGTTAGCGGGACATAGACTGGATTAAAGCATGCTCAATGCATGATTGCTTTGGTGCACGCTGATTGAATAAGAATTAGCCAATCAGCGTTAATCAATACTTAGTGAACACTTTAGAAATCTCATGTGAAAAACTATAAATATACTAACCTTTTCCCTATTGCATTTCTTACTTGCGTCTTACTTCCATCTAACCTTGTTATTTGGAATATAATCTATTCCCTGTTCAACCATGTTCTGATTTGGGGACTTATCGGGTGATTTGGTGTCCAAGAATACTAAGCAATAGGAATAGCTGGGTTATAACCGTAAGAGAGAATTATAACAATTAGTAATATTAATTTAATAAATGGTCAAGACATCTCACTAAAATATGGATGGACATTATTGACATCCAAACATATGAATCAGGCTTTTGAAAAAAATTATCCTTGAGCAACTTATGAAGAAACCTTAAAATACATACGGATGTAATTGAATACTTAATTGAATAATAAATGCCAGTTTCTTTAAGTGAATCAACAAATAAAGGTATACAATCGATATACTTTAAAACTATGATTCTATTGCGTGAATTAAATTCTAAAAATGGAGCATAAAATGTAGAAAAGTAGTTATCTATCTGAAAGATTGTGAGATATTGATTTTCTTAGTCCCACTCATTGCTAATTTCATACTTTTCTGTCATTTTATTCCTTTTCCATACATTTTTAGAGATATGATGGGTAGAAGTGTGTTTCATTGAAAAGACGAGTTGTGCAGTTGATTATGGTTTTATTTAGTAATAGCCCTTTATCAACAGCAAGTTATCGAATAACAAACCACCAGTGCCATTAAAAATAAAGAGAATCAAACACACTACTTACACGTAGTTCTTCTAAAGTGTTTACGAACTCGTTGGATGAATAGGTTGAAATTACACCAAGATCAGAATGTATTTCATTTAAGCAGTGGTCAATATTATCAGTAGATGACGTAAACTCATCATAAGACTGTAGAAGTGGTTTCAATACCGCCTGCGCTCTATGAATCGCTGTCTGAACACGTCGTTTCATGCCCAACAACGATACATTCGCGTCATAGCTTTCTCCCACCAAATGATCAAACATAGATGAACGCCAATTTACAACCCAAAAAGCCATAGTATGTCTACAAAAAAAAGGAATACCGCAGAAGAATAACCATAATTATGTAAATGAATATACAGATACAGGTAAATTTAATACTTGTAAGAATGTAAAATCAGAAACTAAGATTCTACAGTCAAATAATTTTATGGAAACTTATTTAAAGTTACCAACCATAAGTGATTAATCAGGTACTCCATTACTATGTACTGGATCAGAGTACTTATTTGCCATTCAAGACCATATGTTTTCCACAGGATCGAAAGTTCATACACGATATACATTGAGTTAAATGAAACGAAAACAAAAATAATGAGTGAACACAATTTATCCTCCAAAAACAGGAGGATAGAATCAACGTATCAGTTCACTGCTGTCATAGTTGATATAAATAAGATGGGTGATAAATATTAATAGAAATTAATGAAAAGTTTGGGTTCATATTAAATGGAATTTTAAGAAAAATTAAGAGAATGTATCTAAATAACTGTAGCCGATGCAGGAATATATCACTAAAGGTCTTCAAGCATAAACTATAGTTACCTCAGAGATAGCACCAGGAAGGTCTGCAACACCAAGATCAACCGACTACATGAACAAGTTACAAATTTTGATCTGACCAATTTAAATATTTTCAAAACTAGTCTTCACATTTGGAAGCACAGCACACATAGGTGGACTATGGTTAGATACATTTTACAAATATATACTTACCTAGATGATAAGTTTACAACTTAATCAACTACTTAACCGTTTATACTTGGAAAATTTTATATAATTAATTAAATTAACTCAAACGGAGCAGACTAATGTGAAGTATATTAACCTTTTAATAACCAGAAGGATAATCAGTTAGATCTACTTGTAGTTTCAACTGACAAAAGTTCAAGGGAATCACGCTTGAAACTGAAGATTCAAATAATCATCAGTTCACTTAGTAATTATGAGTTGTGGATTACTTATTTACAGTCGAAGATTCGAAGACGACTTCCTATTGAGTTTAATGACTGTTTGCCAAGCGATAATAAGCATCATACATATATGTTTTAGAATAAATTGTTCCTGAAAAAATGTTACGTAATGTATACTATGAGATCTATACACATAACATGTAGTTTTGATGTTATGCTTCTCCTAAAGAATGTGCTTTTTACCTTATGCCAGAAATTAAACTTTATTTTAAGGTTTTACATGCGAAATATTACTTTAAAAACATAATATTTAGGGTCAGATACCTTCAACAAACGGGTCTGATCATATGACATAAAGGTATATTTTACTGAAAAGTGATGGTCAAGAAAAATAGCGCATATGTAATTAAGACAATCTAAAAACGAGAAACCTTTGATATGTATTTAAGAATCTGTCAAAAACCGGGCCCCAAAACAGCCATAAGACCAAATCAATGAGAAAAACAGTTATTTGAAAACAAAATACGCAAATGAAAATGAAAATGAAGAGGACCGAAAACGACTAGGTGAGAGAATGTTTTAAGATGATGTTAAACCAGACAGAAATTGATTTTATGATTTTTCTCTTACCTATGTGAAATCACACACTTAATATACAGAAGTACACAAACCATGAATGCGTTTACGCTAATAATTATTCATTTTCAACCATCCAAAAAAATATACATGCTATGTAATGAAAATCGATAAATCATTCCAAACAGTAGTGACTAACCGACCAGAATGACTTAATAATCTATAGACATCAATTTAGTGACTTAGTGTTATGAAGGCACAATGGATTGATAAAATATCCGACAATTTGACTGAAGTGGTTAAATAGATAATCAGCTCAAACGAACAAGTTTTAAATCTTTGTAAGCATAAGACAGAATCATTGGTCAATTAACTAAATATTAAAAAAGATAATATAACAAAATTTTGAACATCAATGATATCCTGGATTCTAAAACTACATATAAAAAGAAATGCTTTAACATATAACACTAGGAGGAACTAGAATGAAGCACACAGAGACCTATTAGGAATTGATTTTAGTTATCCAAAAGTGAAAATAATCAATACTCCCTACAATGTATGTGCATCTTACCTTGCCTTAAGAGCTAATAACCAATCACCAAATGTATTTAAAGCGATTGATAATGAAGTTTGTGATTGTGTCTTATAGTCTGCTTCCTCAGGTCGAAAAGAATCCAATAACTTATCCATAGTATAAGTCCACTGAGTAAGACGTTTACCATAATGCTATATAAATAAACAGGAAATAAAACTTTTATGTATAAAATTAACATAATATCGAAAACAACGACATAATTGTTGGACATCATTTAAGAGTGTTGAGCTAAAGTAATTTGCGAAATTGATACAACGATATATTTACTCCGATCAAATACTGGACGCACATTGAGTCATCTTATATGTAGTTCAGTTGATTAACAAAGAAAACAGTGATAAGACATTTTGAGTATTTTTCGTAGTTATAGACACTAAACAATGACAGGTGAATCGAAGCTACGAAGACAGCAAAAATAAGAATAAAAAAGAAAGGGATGCATTGTTTCACATAACCTATCTATTACTAAATGAACTGAACTTATCCAAAAAAACACAAATAGGGTATAAATAAACTCTAAATTTGTTTACAATAACGACTGGTAGTGAATGTAAAATTACAGGAAAACAAAAGGTACTGATTTTCTATAATAGTTCAGATGAGGTCAAAAAGGATTACAGGAAAAAATAGCAATCCTTGAAATGAGGGATTTTAACACGGCATGAAGGGTATTATAATTTATGCCAAAAAATAACGACAAAAATACCTCAGGATGAATAGAACATATTTTAAGTGTTCTTGCCTTTAAGAATAGTTAAAAAATCTGTTTTTAATCAATTTATGTAAAGAAACTCCATTTGTGTACTAGGTGGTGAGCCGTATATTAGGTACGAGGGCTAGTGATACTACATGAAGATAAAAATAGAAGTGAATGGAGCACGGTTCAAATCCGGACAAACGCTTTATCCTTTGGTAATCTACAGGTGCATGATAAAACAGAAGTTTACTACTTCGTTTTTTCTCTTTCTATTTAAATATTAAGTCGATGAGGATAGTAGTATCTTCTAGAAGTTTTATTTATTCACCATTTATACAGTCACAGTGCACATAGGTTTATAGACTAATCGTATATCTACAACCGACATATATTAATGGATAATAACAAAATAAACCAGTAATTAAAACATAAAGTGATACCGTGAGATAACTTTTATCAATATCCAGTTGTCGACGCTCGTCCTCCAATTTTTGTGAGCATGGATTTTCATTAACTTGCAAATCCGAATCCAAAAGTCCAGTCACAGATTTTTCTTCTAAACGTAATAATAGTTTAATAAGTGGAAACGCGTCCCGACGTATTGATGTTAAAAGAGGGAGAATATCAGCTTCCTTTACCAACGAACTATCGGGCAAATCCATGACTGAAAATGATGAATAACAAGTGTTTTACAAGCTAGTCTTTTTCACAAAAAAAGGAATGAGAGCATGTGATGGTTAAAATTGCCGGTGATCACACAGCAACCACAGATGTACTACTAGCCGATATTATTCTCTATGTTAAGTGAATCACAAATGAAATCTCATAGAACAGGTTCCTTTGACCTTTCGAAATCATAAACTCAGTATAACGCAAACGAGTTGTCCTTCTGTTCAACAAAAGGCAAGTATATCTTACAGTAGTTCATTTAATTTTTTTCACCTTACTTAAAGGACTAAAATATTTTATTTGAAGGTATCGAATTCGTGTAAATTACAAGAATGCTATCACAGATGTCTAATGATTAATGCTCACGTAAGAGTAATCCTGATGTGAGATACAGTTTTCGGAATATGTAGTGAATCAGTTGACAAAACGATTAACATAAAAAGCAACCGAAATAAATAAGATTTGTCATATATGTCTAATTATCATCTAAGGGCTGAACCACAAAATTAGTAACAATTTTAGCAAATAAATTTATTGTACATTTCTCATTTAGGTCTCGAAAATTATATGATTCTATTCCTTTTCATTCATGTTTGACTGCTGATGATATTCTTTTGTGCTGGGATTTCAAGCTGATAAATATCTGCACAATATATCAAAAATAAGTGAGCATCTCGATATTTAGTGGCTTTTCACACTACATATTAACCTTCTGTGTTATTGGAAACTACAGAATGAGTAATTGAATTTCAATGATCTGACTGAATTAGTTGTAAAGACACATTATAACAAAGGTTGAATTTTGTTCATTTATCAAACACATTACATGAAAACATACCAGAAGCAGCTCCTAATTTAGTATGATTATTGTTGCCCCGATTGTAACGATATGCTTCGTTCTGTAAAAATATCGAAAACTTTATTACAAAAACCCTATAATCACATATCTTTATAAAACTCTTTTAAAAGTAGTAGACTACATAATTTTAGAAAATCATTTAATGTCTATACAGCTTACTGTCAGATAATCATCCAAGATGAAAACATATTAACACCAAAGGTTTAAGAGGTAATTGTAGGATGTTGTACACAACTAAACCATTTCGATAATAACAGCTATCGTTAACTAGTAGTATATTTGTGTTTATATATATATATATATATATATATATATATATATATATATATATTGAGAATCGAATATTAAGAGAAATAAATATGATGAAACGAAAGTATATTTGTCCTAAACACAATATGAAAGATTTAAACTTACATGTCAATGACAGCTCTTAAAAAACAATTCATTACACTTGAAGAGAAACTAAATACTACAGTAGATTTTACACATTTTATCATTAAGATCAAGACACTTTAGAAGCTGTGGTGGATGCCAGCTAAAACTGTTTCATTGAGTATTATTTACTTTGTAGATAATAAGAAATGAATCATAACTACAGTGAAAACCCATCAACATTTAACAAAAAAATCAACTTATTATTGACAATAGTAAAGAAATTTAAATAGCCACTACCAAGAGAAACAAATATTTTGTTACAAGTAATCAGTTTCGCAGATCACGGAACTTTGTCCTTAAGCTTTCAACTATGATATAAAATTATCCTACAGAAAATAAAAACTATTGCAAACTCAAAATGACCTTTCCGACAGATCAACTAAAATGACACAACATCATGTAGGCAATTATATGTAATCTTTATTCATAAGCTAAAAAGTATGACGACAAACATCACTTTGATAACATGGACCAAATTATTTCTAATTACCTTCAGTACGAAAATTTATGGTGTGATAACCTAATTATAACATCTTCACGTCATCTGTGTTGATTTACTAAAGCGTAATTAAAATAGATAAAAATTTGAAGAAAGGGATGCAAAATTGCACGTTAAGTTAATAAACTAACATTATTTACTATTATATCAGGATGTGCAGGTGTATGCAATTCAAGAAAATCAATATTAGCACAAGACGAATCGCACTTCTGTACCTCAATAGCTTGTTCCCAGGATTTCACTGATTCTGGAGAATAAGAATTATTTTGACTGACAGATAAATTGTTTATTAGTATGGAAATTTCTGAATGATGTGAGGGATGTGAAAAGACCTGGAATTTCAATAAAAAATGCAGATAAAGTTGTGTCGAAGAATAAGAATGATACATTTGTGGAAAGTGAAACTATTTAAGGACAATAATATTCTTTCTGAATCAAGCTACATAATTGGTGCTAGATATTTGAAGTAAAACGACAAGAAATGTAATATTCTGTCGTGCGTAGTAGGACTAATCAAGGATAATTATCAACGACAATGCTCATTCTCTGTAGATTCGTAACTATGACACTAGAGATGCTATTAATCGCTGTTAATTGCTACTGACTAAGTAAATTTTCAGAAAAAAAACAAACACAAGCCAGCGGTTTTCAGGCTACAGCATAATGCTTTTTCCACTGTTCTTGTATTAATATAATGAGCCGAGAGTTTTGATTACAAATATTTTGTAGTCTCGGGTCCTAAGAAACACTTAAAAAGAGCGAATAACTAATAATCGAATATCTTAGGGTACGACAGACGATATGTGAGTCGGTTGACGGTTGAGAACAAGCCAGTAGACAAGTGGTAAGTGATAAGCTGGTTCAATTATCACTCAATCGACATATAAATATTACAATGAAAAGTGGTAAACCTACCTCTGCGTGAGGTTTTTGTTGTGAGTTAACAATTTGACTGAGATGCTGAACGTGGGATTCAGTTAACTGAAAACGAGGAGAAACTAAAGCCTCAGCAGCAAGGGTAAGTGGCGAGCAGGGAAGAATAGATCCATTCAATGTGTCGGCTGATTCATTACTTGGCAACAGTGATGGGGAATCAGACTTTGCAACTTTAACGGGAAATAAGAACTAGTTACTAATTATCAATAAAGTGACAAATTTTGAATGATACAAAATGATGGGGTATGTAGTAAAAATTTGTCCTAGGAAGAGATAAACATAGGTCAATTGGAGAGCCTAACCATGAACTTCCAATATCATGTGAACCCTAAATAAAAACTTGATAAATTTTCATCATCAATAACTTCAAAGATTGAGTAAACTTGTTATGCGTGAATTCTACATTTTAACAATGTACGTTGGGATAGTATGAGATCTAGCAATCATTGAACGAATTTTAATTGCTTCACTATACAACTCAAAACGGTCAAGTGCTTCATCTAAGCGGATACCAGAAGTTAGACATCTTTATGTTCTGGGTTTTTATTTTGTTTAATATTTATTCAGAAACAAGTACTTTAAACACATTATTCATAAATGAAAGAGGGATTATTTATACGATTCATTTTAGATATGAAGGTGACAATGAACCAAAATCATGGTAAATAAGTTTTTTAGATCAAATAACTGCGGAACTTGATAAGTATAGTACTTACTTACGTTTATTACCCCTCGTGGAGGGGCATAGGCCGTCTACTAGCATTTTCCATCGGTAAGTATAGTAGTCAGTTTAAAATTGGATATTTGAAATGTAAACTTCAACTGGCAATTTAATGAGTTTACCAACAGAAAATCATTGGTTACCTATACGATTTTTTAACTACAAGAGAATGTGATTGTAGTTTATTTGATCGAGGCTCATTCTGTCTGAAAGAACAGTGTTATATAGTTCGTGTAAACTATTTCCAGAAAAAAAAGAGAAAATTTAGTTTCTTCACAAGGCAAAGAATATGTTAAAAATGCTATGAAATAAATATTTCATGAAAGTAACACTTGAAGCGCAAACTTTAAATAGCTACAGATAACTCCAAGATGAAGTTTGAAAGGCGGAATTAAATTAGTTAGAAACAGTTAATTCAAAGTATAAAAGTTAAGCGAGTAATTTAGTATAAAACTTAATAACTGGAAAAATGAACAAGAAGAGAGTGGTACGTTACCTTCCATGGTCAACATTTTACCAATATTAGTTTCGTGGTTTTCGGGAAAACAGGTAGTAAACTAACATAATCCAAATTTAATAGTCGAATGTTAAAATAAGAAAAAAACATGACTTTGGTAACCTCAAATACTGCTGCTTAAACAATCGAAACAAATGACAGTTGTGATTTTAAAAATAAAAGTTATCGTTATCAAGACTTTAAATTGGTTTACTTCCATCGAAACATTACTCTAGGGGCTTAATTCTCAGATTATTAGCAAAAAATAGACACGTACAGAAAAAGATACGGAAGCTTTTTTACAAACAGTAAACTTACTTTGTAAATCACCCAAATCATCCCATTCCAGTCCATCAGCATTATTATCGTCTCTATGAATGGTAGAGAGTTTTTCATCGAAATGAACATGGATACCATACACCAGACCATGCTCCTTATGAACATGATTAAAGTTCTTTGATATTTCAACATGTTCAGGATTATTATTACCATTGTTACTATGATTATCGTTTGAATTATCCGGAGGAATAATTATTGATAAAAGATCAGGGGATTGTTGGGAATTGGAACGATATAGATTTGACTTGAATTCGGTAGTTGGTAATAACTCTGAGCAGGTAGTGCCATTCAAATTATAATTTGCTGTTTCACGTAGATCAACAGTATTTGGATTTGAATGGTGATCTATACGGGGTAACAAAGACGAAAATGAATTTCTTCGTAACTTTCTATAACTGTATTGTTTAGGACTAGTTAAAGTGCCAGGGGAAGAAAAACCACATGTTGCTATGAATTGAAGACGTTGATGATCCTTTGAGGAAAAATTACCAATGGGCATCTTAAATATATCTTCTCCACTCCAAGAAGTAAGCCGAATTCGATTTGCAGAAGAGCTATTGAAAGGAAAGAGAGAAGATAAAAAAGTAGGGATGGTAAAATCAGAACAAAATACACTACACACAAAACAGTTAATTGATGCAGAACCTGATAGCAGTTCTTAAAAGCCATATTTTATGTATGAGACTTAGTGAATATAAAAAACTTCTAAACCAATAAATGGAGTCAAGTGTGTACAAAAACCAAGTTAACTCATACACAACATGATTTTTCAAAAGAGCTCACATGCAGATTTTAGTGGAATCAAACAAACTTAAGGTTATCAAGGATAGGCAAAAATGTTTTTTAACACAATGCATTCGACGAACTATGTACAGACTATGAAAAAACTAAATGACTACATAGTAAGGTAAACGGATATTCAGCCAATGTAACACCTAATATTCAACCAGAATTTGGTGCGAACAATTTGTAAGATATTATTGCGAATTCGATAGCTTCTCAACTGAAGCATTTTGAAGGTTCTACACCCTGAGATTTATCACCTATTTAGAAAAAATGTACGAAAACAGAATACAAACCGTAGATTAAAACAAAAGACCTAATATCAAATTAACTCTGGTTTGGCCATACACTGGTGCGTCTCATTGGATGGTTCAATACTACTCCTTTCACAACACCATACAAAACATTGACATACAACTTCTAAGATCGCGTTTATTGAGAAATAATCAGAGACATCATACCGGGTTTACATGTCACAATTTCTGTATAAAAGATAATAATTCACATAAAAAACAAAACAGTATCATCTACGAACAACTTCATACAGTCCGATAGATAAATCAGAGTGATGAATCGAAAATACCACTTTCTACTATAGACACAAGAAGTATTACAATTGACAAAAAATTATTCAACGAAATCGTTGTCTGATTAAACAAAGATGACAAGATTAATTCAAAGATCTTAGTGATGTAATATCTCGAACATTGCTTAAATATCAATAGAAAAAATTCGATGATAAATAAACTCACATAAAAATTAATAAACAAAATTAAAGTTTCAAATAAAATAATTTCCAAGTTGCATTCAATTTCTCAAAATAAAATGGAAACAAACAGCTGTTCAGATAAATGAGAAAATATGTAAACACAAAAATAATCTATGTAGAATAAATAGTCCTACATGTCAAGGTTAGATACAATTGTATGTGATCGCGTGGGTGCTAGCTATTTGATTAGACAATTTTATATAAGCTAGATAAAGCTTAATCCATATAAACATAAATAAATCCATAAATGAGAAACATGAAAAGGAAGGCTATGAATATATATAAATATAACTAATCACTTTAAACTAAAAATAATCTAAACAGATTTAATTACACATCATTATTAATTGCGATAAAAAAGTGGATTTGCTAATCAGGAACGAAAACAAAGAAAATTTAACTGCTTAACAAACTTAGCCGATGCTTATTAATGACAGTTTGATTATAGTTCAAAATAAAACCGTCCATTTCCAGTTGTTTGAGTAATGGATGTTAGTTATAATGAAACTCATTTACCAAGTACAAGTTTATTTAATTTCCAGACAGACACCAAGTGCAAAGACAAATAATACTCCCAACACTCTAAACCGAAGGACATGGAACGAAGTTCGAACCGGGTAATTTAGTCAGTAATTCAGGAGTTGCGTTAGAGTAATTTATCAATATTGTGGTTTACAGAACTAGGCACCATGCAGGCTCTCTAAGACCTGGATGGCACAGCTTCAGCTTGTGGAGCGACCACGTAGATATCAAGATCCTTGGTGACCCACAGTAACAAAAACATTTTACTTAATCTCAGGTAAACTTAAATCTCATAAATGTTTGCTTGCATTGTATTGTAACACTATTGTTGGATAGTGTGATAGTCAACATAAAAAATAATTCGACTGAGAAATAGTAAGGAGAGGTAAATCATGACTTTGGAAAAAACAACTACAATACAGAGAGGTACACTTTGGAAGAGAAATGCGCAATCGTTTTTTGAAATATTGAATTCCAAACAATCAAATTAACTGTAGCTTACATCGCAAATTGATTTTATTTAAATAATCATTGAGAATCAACGAACACTAGACAGTTATTTCATTCTCGCATGAGACTTCTTGACGACGCGCACGTACAACAACTGGGGTCGAACCAATGACCTTTAAGCTTCAGGGAGAGTAAGTTGCATACTAAGGCGAAAAAGTCAACCAATACTTCCAGACGACTGTTTGGTTAAAGCCAGTCCACGAAGTTACTTATAAGTTGAGCAACATCGGCTGTATTATATATTCATTATCCTCTAATTACTTATTATACAGCTAGTAATACAGTATTCCAGGTTAAAAGTACTTTTACTAGGCTTTAAAAAAGAAAAAATCGCAAAAACCTTTTTGTTAAATCAAACAGGCATGTCCAGCTAACTGGTTATATCAACCTGATACATGGCGTCTATGAGAAGACTAATTACAAGAACATCAATAGTAAAACTACTACATAACATTAGAAAATTGCACCATGACAATGAATCGCTGAGATTCAATGGTAAAAAATTACACATTCTTCAACATATAAAAACTAATTTTCTTTCTTAATCACCCTCAACATGGCTAATAATTTGTGGACCAGATAAATGTACATTTTATTGTGACGGAATAAACACTGATAAAATTTTTAACTAACCATTTGCGTTTCAATCCAGAATCACTTGAATGAAAACGTGAATAAAGAGAACCCAAATCATGATGATCTACTACATGCATGCTCAGGTTATCACGGTTAAAATCTTCTAAGGAATTTGTTTGTTCGAAACAAATATCAAACGGACATTTGGACTGTTTTGCAGAGTATTTATATTTATTAGCCTTGTCATTATCATTATCGTCACTCTTCCCATTAGGCTCCATAGAAGAACTGACCAATTTAGTTGGTGTACGATTATAAATTTCATGGAATAAACCAGAAGGTGTATCACTGATTGCCTCTGAATCATTTGAATCTGAGAATAACGAAAATCTTTTGAGCGATATATATGATTATAAAAACGAAAACATCTACTACAGTGTAAGTAAAATGATTGAGTGCAAAATTAAATGAAACTGATGTAAAGTGACCGAGTATTTTGAAAAAGCTATTGTTTATTATCATTATTATTATTGATGGCTTTATTCAATATTATATGTTTAGAACAATATAAAGTAGGTGACACGCTTTATTTACTAATGAACTGCCTACATGACATTATCCAATGTGGGTTAAATGTGACTAAAAACCTCAAAGCTAGCTAATGACTAAAAACCACATGAAAACTTTTGGAGCATAAACTACACCAGATTTCACGAACTGCGTACGAGACATTTTTCATACCAGAATAACCAGGAAAATCATGACAAGATTCTTTGGATAATTTTAAGTAACTATAGATAACATCGAAAACTAACGACTGCTTACAGAACATTTTCCAATAAATTTCAGTCGTCATACCAGGATTGATATCTTTGAACATAGTTAAGTATGTTCATTTAATATACTGTGTTTACGTGAACATAACTTCCTAAAAACCCATGAAAGTTTGCAGCGCTGCTTAGATTAGATAATACAATTTTAAATAAAGTTTTACATCTGTCGAGCAAAGCATAGAAATAGACCTTAAATCCAAGACTGAAAACTATGTCGAAGTGGAGTTTTAGAACTGTATCAACTGGAGTATTACTGACTACAAAACAGAAACCCAGAGAATTTTTATTGAATGACTGTCCTCATCTAATAATATGTCAAGAAATAAGATGTTTTAGTTGAAATCCCTTCTTTATATCCATCAGGTCGTAAGAGTTACCTCAATCTATATTACCGTAATTAAGTAATCATTATCTAAATTTAATTTTCTCCAGATAATGTACTATTTGTTTAATGACTATAGACATACAAACCAGTCTTTTCAAAATATTTGATCAATTCGTTTTTATTTCATTTTATTTTTGCATTCAATCGCTTTTCCTACATATATATACTCATTTTTATCACTATAATCACAAAAATGTGAAATCTATAAAAGAGTATTTTCAGCCCGAAATTTCATATATCCTTCTATAACAGTATTATTGACATAAATTATTAATCAAGTATAAATTGTGTGCTCGATTTCTAGTCGCAAACTTTGTAAAAAAAAGCTAATATGACTGTTACCCAGGGTTCAAATAAATAGAACGGATTTAAAAAATGCAACTAGGAAAGTTAAAAGTCGAATGACCACAAAACCACCTCTTCTTACGACAAAACTTGCAAATATACCTAGAACAAAGTAATACAAAAAGAGAGTCCAGATCACCAGTCAGAAGCTAGAACGAATTACTGGTCAAAATAAGTATGACGGACAATTATTGATTACGTAAGTGATGAAAGTTATTAGTTGCGCAATCTCAGGTTGATCTATAGACTTTTCAGTGTATCAAAATTAGCTAACTGGACTTAATTATTTTAAATAACGTGGCTGTTTAAAATGAATTAACTCCGAACCTATACCTAATCTGCAAAACTTAATGGATGACGACGACTTTAACATGAATGCAGATATCAACTGTTGATCGGTAGAAACTATGTCTAATCATCTAGGTTGTTAATAACTTACTTCAAATCCTATACTTCGAACTTAAAAACCTAATTACCTGTATTGGAAGTCCATAAACAGTCCGAGGATTGAGAAAGAATATTATCATTTACAGAAGAAAAGGATTTTCTATTTTCGGACTTTGTAGTCAATAAATCAGAAATAACAAAATTAGAATTAGATAAACCTAATTGATCTGCTGCTTGACAAGTTAGGAATTGGTCAGCATCACTCGCAAATCCTGATTCTGAACAACACAGTGAATATACACTGGAAGTCGAATAATCGATCCGATTGTTCACATCAAAATTCAGCTGGCATCAATGTTTGAAACCATGAAATTTAACAAAAGAAAAACAAGCAATGATTCATTTTATGAAGTTGATGCAAATCGTTACTGTCAGCCAAAATCAATAAAAATAAAGAAAACTAATCAGTATACATAAAGGACATCATTTACTGAATACAGCCAGCGTCCTTAGTATTGCAAATAACTAATCAGATGAACAATAAATCACCAGTGGGAGCTTACTTTAACCTTCAATAAACTTAGCTTAGAGGAGCACCCAACTTGAGATGAATGTTTGGTGAATACAATCAAAAAGAGAATGTCACACTAGTCAAAAGAACAATAATAAAAGTAAAGCACTACATTGAATCGAAACGTTAAGCTACGTAATATAATTCAGAAACTCCTCTGACTTAAGATGAACACCAACCATAGGGAAATAAGCAGTTTCGTATTTACTTATGGAATACTTCCAAAGTGTAACAAAATGACTCATTTATTATTCTAGATGTAAAACAATTGATAACAATGTCACGTATGTTGTTGATCTACAATAACTGAATATGTACTTTTTCATGTGACAAAGCACAGAACATTTCTTTTAGCTCATCAAAAAGTAAAATTCTTTCACTGTAAAGTTGCCTACAAAGTGACTTGTGCAAATCTAGTTTCTAAACACTCAACGAGTCCTATTGTCGTTACACCGATGAAATCCTCTAAAAATTGCAGTACATTAACCTTTAATAAACCTCTTCTAACAGCTAATTTCTGAAGAAAAACAACTATCGAGTGTTCTTTTTAATTTGTAGACAGGAGAAAGGAAACCACTGTATTAAAAAATATATGCTCGTGAGGAAACTACTGAATATGCAGGAAATACAGCGATTAGTGAAACAGTATCGTTAAGTTTAGTAACTTTAAATGCATTAATTCTCAACTGAATCAGAAAATTGAAATCTAAATTAAACTAATTTGCTTCAGTAACGATGTATATGTTTATGTTTGGCTTTGACATTGCATTTAAATGAAAGAGCAGATGATACTATCTGGTCCCCAAAACGGAGTGGATAGAATAGGGTTTAAATATAAGACCCAAGTTTGTTAACCATCATATAAGCATGTTAATAAAGTAAATAAGTATATATTAAACACTCGTCGACTTAAGATACTCAATGTCTGTTGGCCGGATACCATCAGCAACAACCTACTCTGGCAGGGAACAAACCAACTTCCAGATGAAGAGCAAAAATAGGGAAAGACACGGGAGGTAGACAGGACATTGTAGTATTTGTATGAACTAATGGTTCTTTTGTACCTGATTGCCCACTGATTCTAAATTCCAAATATAATACGTTCATTTGTGCTCATCTAGTTCTACTTGCTGTAAATTGTACTATCTCGTGAATTTCAAGTTAGCACAATAATTCGAATATTTCTAATATTTCGAATATTTACATTGGCGTCGCGATGGAGCCTGTGATTGAACAGTTGGATATACATTCAAATTCGGAAGCTTTCAAAGATCACATGAATAGGTTTGAAATCTAGAGTATGGCAAGGAAAGAAGTTAAGGATGATGAAATGGTGGCCCATTTTCTTACATTCATCAGAAAGGATGCTCTTATTAAAGAATTTGGTATTTTCAGATAAGCTTAATTCACTTCCCTATACAACTTTCAAAGAACTACTAAATCATGTAGAGTACTGTCTTCGAATGCTGTGAAAGAGCAAAATTTCATAAAATGATTCGCCACGACAACCAAAAGGCTAGAGAATATATCCTTAAATTGCAGTGTAATTTTGGTGATCAAGTTCATGTGAAGCTGTGTGACTGGTTGATTGTAGTAATTAACATACCAAATGTGTAAAAAAAGCTTATACAAATGCCGAAATGTTCCTCTCAAGATGCTAGAACTGTGTGTAGTAATTATGAGGCAGTGCATGAAATTTACTTCCAGGACATCAAGAATTTTACTACGTAACCTAGTTATCCTAATCCGATGAGTACTTAAGGTCACACAGGTAGGCGTTTAATTGACGATAATCCTCGTTTTCGTGAAAACATGAATGACAATTCATTCAGGAATGGCAAAGCAAGTTATTGAGGTGAGCACAAGTTTGGTAAATTTCACTCACGTAAGTCATATGTCTTTCATTATGCTAAATGCTTTAAGTATGGTAAAAGGGGACACATTCAGTCGGTTCGTAAAACTACTGTTCATTTCGTCGAAAGTAATACTAAACTTTGTAATTCATATCCTATTAATTCGAATGGTTCTAATAGTCATATACATATTTATTTATTTTAACACATAGATATTGGTACAAGGAGGCAACCAACTAAATATGCGTCACACAAATCTCATTTGATATGTGTGAGGGCTGTGATACTGCCTGGGTGCTCAAACCGAAGTAGGTGGTTTTCTCAGGGGGCCACACCTGGAGCATTCGACCTGAAGGTCTGATACACAAGGCAGTGGGGCATCATGAGGAGATGCAGTCCCATGGTAGCCGGTGACCAACGATTGGTTCATACGCCATTCGTTCCTTCAGGATACTGGAGCCCATGTGCAACATCGGTTTGGAATCAGGGTTTTCCAACTCCCCTAGGTGAACCCTCTATGATTACCAAACCGGTTAAAGCGCCGGACATTCGCTTTTCGTCCTCTCAATTTCGTAAACAATACCCCCGCCACGAGAAGGCAGTGAGTAGGACTTCCCTGGCAGAGGCTATATACGCGTGGCTATGTGGGAGCATTTCGAGAGGGAAAGCGGACTCTCCCCACTCTCGGCCGTACTAGGGCATATAATATCCTTATTTATGACTTTCTGTGATTCATTTCATATCCAAAAACGATTAGATCTATCCAGTGGTGCTTTTCATGATTTAACTGTTGGCACTGGCAGCATCAAGTCCATAATTTCGGTTGGGAATTTGAAGTCATTAAATCCCGATGCCATAATCAAGCCTACAAAAGTTTCTATTTCGAGTATTACAGGTCATAAACTTTCTATTCTTCAGTGCTGCAATTTGCTTATTAGAGACGATAAATCTTTAATCCTAAATTGTGAATTCAGCGAGACTATAATTTATGGACGAACCAATCAGACCTGAGACAACAGGTGTTAGATTTTAGCGCGAACTTTATCTACTTATCTGGCTAAATACTATTTCAGCATTATAGTTGATGTCAGTTCGTGATGAAAATCCTAAATCGAATTCCTAACCCTAACTATCAACTGTGAACCATAATTATAATTCCTCACACCGCTTTATAACCCTCAATTAGTCCTAGTTAGTAGGTGGACATTTTCAAGGTCATCTTAGCGTTGCTCAAAGGTCGTCCATAAATTATAGGCTCACTGAGAATTCTTCATTACTGATTGCAAACAATCTATCCTAGGTCAAGAAAATTTAAAAATGCTTCAAGGACAGCTTTCTTTACTGACCAAGGAAGACGATTCTAATGAAGTGCTTGATAACTAGCTAACTACTGAAGTGAAGTGCGAAGAATTGTGCACGACTCCAAATTCCCCTCATTCTCATTTGCAAGCAAGAAATCCCAAAACCTTAAAAAACGTCAATCCTACTACTGCTGCAAAATTCAAAGATCCGAAGAGGAGAGCAGATAAATTCCCTCAGTGCAGAATTACTAGACCGTATGCAAAAGTGATAAAATTCTAAGAAAAGATGGATAGTGGCTAGCAGTGGAATAGGACGAAATGCGCGTCCTGGATTTCACTGCTAGCTACTATGCATCTTTGCTTATAATGCTTGTGACTTAAGGTAATATCGAGGCAATCCGCACAGGATGCACGTATGCCAATAAGAGACTGATCAATCGCAGTCCTAAACATCAGTGGGGATATTCAGACAAACAATACAAAATGAATTTAAAGTGGTGAAACTTTCCTAAATTACCCTAAAGGCAGAAGCCTAGTATGTACCAAACCGTAGTTTAACAATAAGTTTAATTTTAACTTCATGTATTGCATTGATTTGTTGTTGTGGATTGTGACTGGATCGTCTGGGATTACGATAAAGCTTAATTACGAACAATTTACATCCACCTAACAAGGATAGAAACTAATGAGAGCACGATAATACGGCAACTGACATATACAATGTCTCAACAGTAATCCCCAAACGATGGAACCCAAGAAGGAAGAAGTGCAGAAAAAGCTTGATATTTAACGAGGGAAAATTGAACTATTTGTGTACAGTAACAGAATATGGCTTCGAGATACAGGAAAATTAGCAAACTAAGGATGATAACCAATCAGAGAACAGAAAAGGTCGTGTGAAAATATGAATCACAGATGGCATGGAGGCTATCATTACAGAAAAGAAACCAGCACTAACTAACAAAAAAAACTGGATAACTTTTAGTCTTAATGGGCAGGTGGTTGATATGAAGTTACCTTACTCTATTGAAATGCTTTTATCGAATAGTATCGATTAGAGACTTGTTGGCTGACGACGCACAGCCCGAGTGATTAACAAACTTGACTTAGATTTCAATCAGCACGACTTCACAAGCGACCCAACAAGCAATTTTCTAAAGCGAACTAGTAAAGTAAATAGTGAGTCAAGTTATCAGCTGTAGTAGCGGACGATAATACTGTTTGGGTATTTAAACAGCTTATCTGATATGATTACATAGGTCAATCACTAACAATTTAGTGGGTTCGGAACTGAAACTCTACCCGTAGTTTAGGAATTGCAGGACTGAGATATGAATGGTTGCTCACAGAAAAATAGTATTTTCAAGATACCCCAAACACAGATAGCATAACAGATTAGAGAAAATAAAACTTTAATCATACACAATTTTACTGTAAATATTAGGAATTAAAAGTATAGCTAATTATACTGTCCGACTATTCAACTGCTGGTAGCTTTAATCATGAGGTTTGAACGTTTAATTGGAAGACCCCAAAACAGGTTATCAAGTCGCTGGAACACACCTCCAGAAGAATTATTCTTCTGTCTTTACGGAACCCTAAAATTAGACTAATTCACCAGTGAATCATAATTTACACATATAGACCTAGAGACATAGCTAGTCATAAGACTAAAAAAGTTATGTAACAGGATAACAGGTCTGCATGATAATAGTAAAATACACATAACAAACATGTTCTGAGGTCAGTAACATAACGCTGAGTAGTAGATGATGAGGATATACACAATTCACTCTACCGAATGATATGCATAATTTTTGATGATAAATTGTCAAGAATTATACAACAAGCAGAGATAGTTAACTTCTTAAAAGTGTTATTTTACTGAAACCCAAGCCCAATAATCCGACTCCATTGATTAATCTTTTAATTGTATGTAATTCTCGTACTCAATTTGATGAGTGCTAAGAATTTCTATTTTTTTTGAATGGATTGTTATACTAGTCATATTTACAGCTCTCAGCATCAGCCCATTTCTTAAAAAAGAACGACTGGGTCCCATGATAACTATAATCATGGCCTGATTATGTAAAAATAACTCCGAAAAGGATCTATAGTTATAAAATAATAAGTTATTTGGATGAAAAGCAAGTGGATTCACTGAGTTTATTATTAGTAGTATGAATGTGAACTAAATACGAAGTCAATATAACACATATTTTGAAACCGTAAACGTACAACAGATTACGTACGAAATGATAACTCACATTTTCAAAAGAACTTCGACCTTTAGATAAATACTTCCAGCGTTCAAGTAACTCCAGGTGCATACACCAAAGAGACCAGCCTCTGTAAGTTAACTTGTCGATATTCTCAGTAAGTTTGCAGATAAGCAAATCAAAAGTTTCCCCTCCATATGAAAGCAGATTATTTTCGATACTAAACATATAGAGCTGTGAAAGTAAACAGCTAGCGGCGGACAGCGTTTGCATGGATCTTTTGAGAGAGATATGCTCCGCCTATATAGGTGTGATATATACAACCTTTAGAGATAACCACAATAAACATGGGCAGAATTTATTTGAAAAAACCCAAACATTTTGATGTTACATCATTCAAATAAGATATAATGATATACTTTAAAAAGTGAGGTATTTGGACACAGAACATACTACACCTAAAAAAGAGAAAGCTCCATGCAGTGGATCACCCACTTCCCTCATGATGATTGGTGGTAAAATTGCTGTTGGAGATGGCTTTGTGAATGGAAATAAATTAGAGAGGCCGAAAATACAATCAGATGTGGATTTAGAAGTTAAACAGTTCTGAACCTGCTATTTCTTTTTGTTGTTGAGAAAAGAGTGCCTAGTACTCTTCTAAGACTGCACGTGACTGAAATAGGCTTCTTCACACGGAACTACAGGAGAATTATCATTTCAGAAACCACTGCTGAACATTGCGGTACTCAGTACTTGACATATGGTGATTTGATATAAATAAATGTGCACAAACTAAAGCTTTCAAATGTAGTAGAATCGATCTATGAAACCCCTGAAAAGTATTAAAGGCGGGTCGCAAATCCAAAACCTGATCCTTCAACACAATGAGTGAGCAGATTTTCTTTCTCGTTCTTAAACTCAATGCGAAACAAAAAAAATTATACTAGTAGCAGTACTTAGCTGCTGTAATAGTTAGCCGTTGACGGTTTGAGACACATTGTGTCAGTGCTTTATTAAAACTAAGATTGGGAGGTATGAAAAAATAAATAATGCCTAACTAAGAAATGAGACATTTCTATGTGGTATTTCCAGAATAATAAACCTCTCTATGAGGCTAAAACGCTTAATAAAACCTTCATTTTCGTACTTTTATTGTGCTTCAATTTTCCAATCAACTATGACTGACTGTCACATATCTCAAACGTAATCCACGTAATCACGTGGTATAATTGACACTGAAGAAAAAGATAAAATCTTACACTCAAATCTATCTGCATTTATTTATTATTTAGTTTATTTGAACACATAAATACTGGTAAAAGGAGGCACCAGATACATATGCGCCACACAAATCAATTGAGATTTGTGTGAGGGTTGTGATCTGCGCGGGTGCTCAAACCGAAGTAGGTGGTTTTCTTATAGGGCTACACCCGGAGCCTTCGAACTGAAGGTCTAATCCACAGGGTAGTGGAGCATCGTGAGGAGATGCAGTCCCATGGTAGCCGGTGACCGAAAATTGGTTCATACGCCATTTGTTCCCTCAGGGTACAGGAGCCCATGTGTACCATCAGTTAGGAACCAGAATTTTCCAACTCCCTTAGGTGGACTCTCCGTGTCCACCATCTATCTGCAGTCACTAAATTTACAATTATTTATGTAGTGTGGCTTCTTAATTGTTGGCAATTGTGAGACAATGTAGTCAGAACTAGGAGTAGTAAGAAACGTAAAATATTTAAGTTAATTAGGCCCGCCAAATTCGTTGGCAGGTTTCAAAAAGACAGGTGTTTATTACTATGAGTCACATTAGTTTATACTAGTCAATATCAATGAGCTCCCTTGATGAACACTGGTTTAAATCTATATCTAACTAAATGGTGGACTGAAAAAATTTAGTCATTTTTTGAAACAGCATAGACAATACCTCGATTGGTTACCTTGATAAGTAGGATGCTGTTTTACAACTACAAACCCTTTGATCATTAGATGGAAATAATATTTATTGGTGTTTTGGATACTTCAGAATAAAATGTTTATTATATTTGCCCCCTGAGTACATTTAATTAAGCACAAAATATGATCAAATCGCAACCACAAATACGTATTCGGCAAGGTAATTGGCAAAAACTCACATTTTTTTTTACCTTGAATAATGTCTAAATCTGGACACGTGAAATGGAGAAACAAGCATACATTGACGTGATCTGATTATATGAAATAATTCAATAATCAGTTTGTCCCAGTTACTTCAATTTTAGACGATTATAGACACAAATTATGGATTACATTTTGCCTATATATTTGTAGATCAGTGGAATTTTTGGAATTAGGATAAATAATGGAGGTGTAATGTAATGAACGAAAAAGAGTCTACTAACACAAGCTCATGGACAAAAGAAAACTAACCTCGAGTACACTTATATCTGAATTCAGGTCACATGTTCCTCTGATCGACTTCGTTAGTACGGTCTGTAGGTCAAAAGTTCCTAGTTACAAATTTAAAAAGTAATCAAACTATAGTATGAGCTTGGAAGTACAAGGAGAAAAAGTGGGAAATGGAACAATCATGCACTGTCCTGAGATGCCACACCTTACATAAACACAAAGAGAAGAAACAACTAATAACCAACAGTAGCAAGTAACAAGGAAAAAAGCGGGAACGGACAGTCGGATTTACAAAGTAAGATTATAGAAATTTTGAATATAGAAACTAAATACATAAATGTTATAGATTGAGTTATTTTGCTGCATCCTTAGTGAGATGATAATCCTTTTATAAAACTAAGTAAAGATATGTACATCTTCCTAGTCTTCAGTAAATAATTTTGTTTTGGTGTGACCACCTTATTTTTTCCAACTTTTTCATGAGTGAGAACCGATGATAATTCCAACTTGGGAAAGAGGATCTTTAAATTTGTGAAATTAAGATTTAAAATGGATAGTGGGGCTTTTAAAGATACTCAAACGACACGGAGGGTTCACCTAGGGGAGTTGGAAAACCTTGATTCCAAAAGAATGGCGTACATGGGCTCCAGTATCCTGAGGGAATGAATGGCGCATGAACCTATTGTTCACCACCGGCTACCATGGGGCTGCATTCCCTGACGTTGCTTTACTACCTTGTGGATCAGACCTTTAGGTCGAAGGCTCTGAGTGCGGCCCCATAAGAAAACCGCCTGCTTAGGTTTGAGCGCCAGGACAGCATCATAGACCACGCACAAATCAAATGAAATGAGAATTACCACTGGAAATACTATTCTTGCTTTAATTAAAAGTTACATAATTCGCATTCACTTGATATTTTATTTATTTATTTTAACACATTGATATTGGTACAAGGAGGCACCAAATACATATGCGCCACACAGATCTCGTTCGATATGTGTGAGGGCTGTGATACTGCCCGGATGCCCAAACCGAAGTATTTTTATATACTACGCCATTTATCTACTCACTTTTATCCTCACCTTGTGTATTCTTATTTTACAACTTACATAGCAGCTCGCTAATAGTGAAAACCCTGTCCTACCTAAAAGACTCGTCGAAAGTTGAATGCTATCACCGAATACAATTACTGAAAGTCTTTCTGAAACTAAGTATACCATTCAAAATAGCTTCCTTCAACGTTCACACACTAATGCAGATCTGAAAACAAATAAGGTTGGCTATGTCTTTAGAAAGTCTTAATATCGATGTTTGTTGTCTATCCGTGACCCGTATTTAAGACTCTAGTGAAGTACTACAAATTCGCTTTCCATCTGTCGCCTTGAAAAGCTTGTTTCACGTACGTTTATCCAGGGACCCTATGGCATCTTCGTCTGGTCTTGCTGACGTTGATGTCGAATTGAAGGCTAGAGCTGAGACATCACTGATTGATTGGATCCCCATCAACAGTCGGTCATGTGTTGTTAAGTCAAAAAGTTCCACCAAAGTGAGAAATCGATGGGGGAAACGATGTCTTTTCGTCATCTCCGCCTATGCTCCAACAGATTGCAGCCCGGATGAGTTTTGCCATCAATTGGAGTCCTCCCTCTACATCCCAAGCCTGTACTTAGATCGATCACGTCACGATCAGTTACTTCTGGTGTGGTTGTGTACAATACTGCATTGGTTGCAATTTCATGATGCCATGAAAATGGCGAGTAAATTCGCCTGCGTCTTCGTGGAACGTCCCGCTTATAAGCACTGGGTTTCTTCAGGCTCCTTACAACTCATCGAAGCCCGTCGGTCTACTCTGGGTGACCGTGAGTTTGACCACAAACGAAGGCTGTTACGTAATGAAATCGGGCAAAGCTTACGTAAGGACCGAGAAGCCTGGTGGTCGAAGCGTGCTAATGAGCTGGAAGCAGCAGCTGCATCTGGTAACTACCGGAAGCTCTTAACTCATCCAAGTCACTGACAACAAGAAGTCTGGTGTGAGCGAAACAATCTGCGAAAACGACGGGTCCCAATCACTAACATCCATCGACGTCTTGGACGATGGGCAGTTCAACTGGCCTGCTGCTCCGGCAACATCGGTCGGTCTGTCCTGACCTCCATGACCTGTGACGACTGATCCACCAAATGAGACGGAAGTCCGCAAGGAACTCCAACTCTTGAAGCGCTACAAACCACCGGGCCCAGATGACTTACCTCCGGCTCTTTTTAAAGATGGTGGTGACTTTCTGGCTAAGAAACTGACTGTGTTGTTTACAAAGGTCTAGGAGCTAGAGAGCGTGCCAACGTCATGGAATGAGTCGACAGTTGTCCTTATCTTTGAAAAGGGTTCACGTCGTTCCTCTAACAACTATCGGGGGGTAAGTCTACTTCCGATTGCGTCCAAGCTATTGGCTTCCGTCATACTTCGTAGGCTGTTCAAAACCCGAGAAAGATTGACTCGCGAAGAGCAGGCTGGGTTTCATTCTGGTCGAGGATGTATTGATCATATCTTCACCCTCCGCCAAATGTTAGAACACCGCCATACTTATCAAAGGCCAACAATCGTAGTGTTTCTTGACATCAGGGCTGCCTTCGATTCGTTGGACAGGACTGTTCTCTGGGATAATCTATGGAAGAAGGATGTGCCTGAGAAGTTTATTAGCATCTTGAAAGTCCTATATACAAACACCACAGGGAGGGTGAGGACATACAACCACTTCCCTCCACTGTTCCATTCAAGCAGTGATTATTTATCAAATATTTATCAAATAAAATGACACTAAAGATCCACGTTATATTTTGGTAAGGTCATTCTTTAGACAAACTATTTTCTTTCCCTAGTGGAGCTTGAGGGTATGAGCCGAAGGTATGTCAAGCTGACGTTTGAACGTTTCGGTTGTGTTCCTACTTAACATCCCAAACAAGCATTGGGACCGAGCAGTATTTAAAATGTGGATATAGAGTTAGTAGAATGCACACGCGACACATGACTTTTTTGAAAATTTATGGACACGTAATAATGAGACATTAGTCAGTACTGATTGCGATTAGAGTTAGGTTTTTCGTCGCATACTAAAACCAGCTAGAATGTCAAAATGTTATTTAGCCATATGGATAGGCGGTTCCCGTGTCATAATCCAAGGTCTACCTTAGGTCTGATTGGTTTGTCCTTAAGTCGTGATCTCACCCATAATACTATAAAATATTACGGATGAAGTACGTGACACTAACCAACAAAAATCAGCACTGTCTTTTCGAAGTGTAACAATGCAGATCCTTTCAACACCAATACGGGTACTCGTAACTATTTGTGTGAGCTTTTTAATGAGCTGAGTGGTAGATCCATGGCCCGACCGTTGTTGCTACCTTGACGTGGTGGTCGGGCTTGCCTATCGTGATGAAGCAACCGAGCTATACTGGCTGGAACAACCGTTCCTCAAGGTCCTACCATGTCAGACAGGTCGGTTGAAGAGCGGTAAGACTAAAAGCAACAAACCTAAGGTCCGAAGGCGAAGTCGTACTGCTGACTGTACAGAGGTGTGACAGCAGTAAGGTGTTTCCTTCAGACAACCAGCATGACAGCGATGCTGCCTTCCCACAAGGAGGGGTGGGGTTAGAAAAGGTCGACCCTAAAAATGCACACCTCACCTTACCTCACGGATTTCCGTCTCCGGCGGTAAGGCCCTTTGAAGAACGGAGTTAACACGTCAAAAACCTCCTACGAAAAGGCCGTGCGCGACCGGCCTCAAGCAGTTGTCCCTTGGGCACTGCGGTCACGCTTTCAGGTCACTAAGACCACCTTTAATCCAATTTCCTTTTCAGGTACCTCCAGAACAACCCTTCCACGGTGTGGGCAACCGGGAAGTGATAACCGCCCTCATACCTCTAACAGCACCCAAGACCACTGACTGACATAAATATTGATACAACGGGGCACCGAATACATATGCGCCACACAAGTCACTTGATTTGTGAGATTAAACAGGGTGGCCCAAGGCTTTGTTGATTAGGATTGACATAATTTATGCTCTGATCCTGTAAAAGTTTGGTTGGTAAAGTAACTTAAAGGACCAAAGCATTCAACTTCATTAATTTCGCCATAAATAATCAGAAAAAGTTATATTCCATCACAATTTTACACAAGGTGTGAAATACTTATGGAGCAGATAGGCGGAAAACAAAATTTTGTATTTTATCGATCGAGTGAATGAACAAATAACTTTAAAGTGGAATTGGTTTGAAACATAGATAGATGGATGGAGTACGAGGTGGTGTTCCCAACGGCAAAGCTAAGCAATCAAACCACGTGAGTCGGAGAACATACCACTACCAAAGAATAAACAACTGCTCGTATATTTAACATATTATTTGAAAATTTATCAAATAACCAAATAGTGGTAAACTTACTTCTACTGATTGAGCGAAGCTTAGCCTCAGTTTCTTGAACGTCCAGTTCAACATCTATAAATAAAAAATTACGCTTTAATGAAGTTGAAATCGTCTTTTTACAACATTGGGTTTGCAAATCGTGTAAAATTACGGTCTCTAACCTTTTATTGTACGTGATGGGTCGTGAAATAAGCTCATCGGTTGAACGAGACTTGTAATATCACTCCATATGGTTTCGATTTCTTGAAGTCTACTGGAAATATTGACCTCAAGAAAATCTTCCACTGATTCAGTTGCGGAATCAGAGGTCTTTCCGGACATAACCAAAAGCTGGTTGGCCAGGGAACGTAAACGATTAAGGTCAACGTCTCGATTGTTAATACATCCAAGGTAATTCTGAAAATCAAAAATGACATTGATGTAACTTCCTAACAAAAACTCATATTTCTAATACATACAGCTTTTTTCCCAGCATAAACCACCTGTCGTTATAGAAGATGGAGTGCCTTGCGTGACATAATGCCTAATAGCCTCTTCGGTTTACGTAAATTCACAGATATACAGACTGATGTTTTTATTACTATATCCAGGTAGTTCTTCAAAAATACTTACGACCGACTACCTATAATCTAGACGCCCTACACTAAAAAGACAAGACATACAGAAATTATTTAGCATCCAACTTACAAGGCAATAAAGTATGTGCCGATAGTGTTATATTAAAGAAAATGAAGTATCTCCAGAAAAGATTCACACCAATAAGGATGCGAGCGAAAAACAAAAGTTAATAAGGGCGACCATTAAAAGGGCGCATATTAGGAAAGGTAATCATTGAGAGGAAAAATAACATTTTCCTATCATGTGAAATATGTTTGACTTACTCTCTATCTCCTTGCCTTACGATCAATGAAAAACACATATCTCTAAATGAACGATGAAGAGTCTAATCTCAACAGATACTGCAGGTTTCCAAATTTGGTAACAAATTGTTATTATTACCCTAGTCATGCTAATTTCCATGTCCATTTAGAACAGCTAGGATATAATTTATTAAAAAGGATTTTTGCGTGTTGGATTCTCAAGAAATCAGCAACTTGTTAGACAATCTCAGGTGACGGAAAATGTAAAGGTTATAGAACTAATTAAGACTATACACTTGCAGTGAAAATGTAATATGTAAAATGGATTTGTATCTACTTTTTAGAGAAAATATTTTGCTCAAAATGAAACAACCGTATATAAAGTCGACTAGTTACATTCTAGGTTGTTTTTCATACCTCATTCGAGTGGATTTGGAATACGTGAAGCGCTGTAAAGGCGAAAAACATGCCTTAATTTCAAAATTAAGTTGTAGTCGTAATTCTTTGTTAAATGTTTTCCCAAAAACATTATATTCTGTGCTCACAAGCGAAACAACTAAATTTTATTCTATCGACTGTCGAATTCCGTGATAGCAAGGGTTAAATGATTAAGCTTTATTTAATATTAATTGGATTAACAAAAGGGACACATAAAGTGGACCCCATGCAATTATTGTTAACGTGGAACTACTATGTATATAAGTCAGATTGTCATTTATCCCAGTTGAAATCATACTTAAACTTACGTTTTACAGACGGAAACGTCAAAACATTTTTCCAGATTAGTTAGCTTAAATCAAAAATCCAATTACACTACAATATCTTAGATGATTTTGCCGTAGGGGCGATAGCAGCTTAACAGTGCATTATTTTTCTTATATCACAAGCTTCAATCACCACTGTAAACTACACGATAATGTAACTTTCCAGAAAGCGATTTGTTCATAATTTGGATGATGACCACTGTTTGGTTACAAGTCCATGGTGTAGCTAAGTCATAATCATGAACTAGAGGTTGAAAGACGGAACTCCTAAACTCTTGATTGGTCACATTGGTAAAGATGAATCGACTCCTAAACTTGCCACAACCAAATACCAGAGTAAGAGGGGCAGAAATAGCATTAGTGGCAACAGAAAAGATTAGGAATCGAGAAGATATGGATCAGTGGAGTAAATTTTAAAACATCGTAAGGTATTTCATCAAATTTGAAGCTAAGGAAAGAAAAATGTGGATGCATCTGAGCAGTCATATTAGGTCTTTAATTATTGGATACCACGGTCACGTGAATCCTAAGCATGTAGTCTGCGCCTACCTGCATGGCTCAGTCGACAATCCGTGTATCCTTGAGCTGACGCAATACCTCGAGTGATAGTACTTCTACTTGGGAGAGAAAGTGAACTCCCAACTACCTTTAAGTCATTTTACAGAGCATTAAAAGTGAGTTCATGTTTGAACTTAGCGAACATACCTGATTCATATAAGATTCTGAACGACTACCATAGGCCAAACGTCCTTTGAAAGCCATTTTACAAACTCTCTTAAGCCACCTCTCCAATTCTTCAGATAATAAGCAGAATTGTGCGAATAGTTTGGCGTAGGCGTATATTGTCGTGTTTTTTGGTATACGATTGTTATTCGTAAATCTCTAAGACGCATGTTAACAAAAATATAAGTTATCACTTTGTCCATGAGGGAATAGCACTCGTCACGAAGATCAAGAAATGATTGTGTCAACAATAGTGGAACGTTGTTATCCAAAGCCATAGGGATGCTCGAGTGTAGTAGTTCAGCTTAATTTTCAATGAAATAACTTCAACATAAGCATGAATATATGAAATTACCGCAAGCTCCCTAATTACTGCAGCGAAAATCTAGTTAACCAATAAATCACAACGAACTAGTAAGGGAATTTCCTTGCAGGTAAGATACACATTAACCAGGTCACACCAGACTTTAAAGGCGCGCGTAAAACCAAAGCTCTCAATCTCGCGCTGGATGTACAAAATACACATCAAATCCTGAGGCATTGTCATACAGTTGGTGAGAATTGGAAAGATGCGAAGATTATCTTGGTAGGTAAAGACATGAAGAACAAGCTAGGCTATGGTTTCTTATGAATATGTTACATGTCGAGTATTTTTGATGTCTTTATTTATCAGCTGCGAACAGTATTATCGCAGTCACACATCAATTTTCGTAATGTTTGTGCTTCTTACATAGCTTTTATCCCAATTTGTCAGTAGTTTGACCTAGTTGTTCAATCAATGTTAAGTCGGCTGTAATGTGCTTATTTGTATCAACCTGAACCCAAGCAAGTAAAACGAACTATTTATGAAGTCAGAGATAGATTCTAGTTAGATTTGTTCGACAAAAATGAGCTCTGAGGACCCTTTACATTTGATTTACCATTCTGAGGGATGTTGATGAACAAGGATGTCTAGTAGTTGTTTAGCAATCGCTAAACAACTTGCATTTAAGTGCAAGTTGAGGTGATTCTGAGTTAAACCATTTTTAAATGTTATGTAAGTTTCTGGTGCACGATAGCAAACAATTATTGCGATTATAAGTATTATCGTTTTTGATGGAACTGATATATCATTACGTAACGTATTTGGGGGAGAAAAATTATATGAGTAATAAGTGACGTTGATAGCCTTTCCATCCCGCTTTCTGAGCGCATACAGCAACTGTACAGAACATTATTGTAGGTATCGCATTAAGTAGTCACATTAGTAGAACGATGCGTGTTTGTTTTGGACACGGTAACTGAAATAAGTCGTTAGTACTAATTTATGATGTTTCTGTTATATGATTAACGAATGGGTTTCTGTAAACAGAATCTGCAACCACCGACCAAATTATAAACAGAGATCTAATGAGTGTGATTTGTAATATCTAGATTGGGCCCTCCGATGATTTCATATTGTATGTAAATAATGAGTTACTGTCAGAATTATGAACGTCGTAATTGGATTTTACAAACACTTCATTATACTACTTGAAGTTAGTGAATTAAATTATTTGGTGCCTACAATTCGTTTGCTAATGCTAAACGGCCAGTTAACATTGTATGAAGGTTGGAGAGTGAATGGCATTATTTACAGCAAGCAAGGTACTTATAGCTACATTCTGTTGGCAGCTATTCCATCAAAGTATTGAATGTGATACTCATAACGCAGTCTAGCCATTTGTCTAACGATTAATTCGTTGTTTTTCGGAATTGCATAAACTAGGCTGATATGCAACTTGTGACTTCGGTCAACTAATTGAAAGGCTGAAAGCTTGCCAGTGTTTACGTTTATACCGGTGAACAACTTAACGAATTTCTGGACATGGAAACTCATGTAAAGGAACAATTTACAAGCTAACAATATCTGTGCTTAATATTGACCACTTCCACGTTGATTCACTTATTGAAATATTTAAATTTATATAACAACTATACTCACTTTATTTTTTCCGTAAATCTTACTACAAGTGAAGAATTCGTATCGTCTCAGATACTATGAAAACCTGGTGAAAGTTAGTAGTTTCTTGCATCATGAATCTTGTTAATATTCATCCGAATACACTGTAATAGGAAAGAAACCTATATATACGACTCAATGTTTTAGCAAAACTTCCAAACTAGTGCGGTACTTAGAAGTTCTCATAAGAAAACAGGTACTCATAAAGCAAACACTTAATTGTTTCTAATTTCTACAAAAAGTTACCCTTTAAGATTGTCAGTATACCTCCCCATGAAACAACACTTAAGGCTAAACTAAAAATTGGGCAAAAGTTTATTATTACATCATTACTACTGGTAAATAAAGGACACCACTTGATGCAGAAAAATCAGTTTACAAGTTATAAATATAGGTAAGTTTTAATCACAACTGCGAAAAATTGTGATAAACAGTTCCTGTCACGTCTCCACACTTTCTAATATTCCGAGTCATGTTTCTATCGTGAATAAGACTACACAAAAACAGTCGTTAGAGAATCTAGAGTATTACCTAGTTACTGGTAATTCTCAGATAATGATTGTCAGCTTCCTTCTCCACTATCACAGCAAACCGCTAACGATATTTATCCAATCTGCTTTTTGTTCATTTTCTGGATTCGCCGAGTCTGTAAATATTGGTTGCTTCATCTGAGGAACTAAACTTGTGCATTATGATAGAAAGCATTTGTGTTGTATACCTTCTATCAAATAGAGTGCCTAAGAATATGATCAGTTATGCGCTTTATACTTTGCAAGTGGTTGGGATTTGCTTCAAGAGTTCATCTCCTCATGTATGACAGTGGCATATGGCGGCAAGAATATCGAGATGTCACAAACGTTCAACAGTCGCACTCGCGAATGTTGGTATCTCCCTCATAGGATCGGACACAGTAAATTATAAACATTCAATGACCGTTTTCATATTTCATATAAACAAATCGCATCATTTTGAGTTCCAATATAGTTTTTTTCGTGAAAAGGGTTTAAGATGGTTGATAATCGGAAGTACTCGTCATGGTGCATCGTACTTTTAGCACCTACAAGGTACTGTCATATCTTCAGTGCTTATATACGCTTATTTGTGGAGAGATGAGCTTTCTTACTCTTTATATCTGCAGCATTGATCTGACCGAATAGTTCGTTCCTTAATACTTTCAACTGCTTTATCTATTGATGGTGTTAGCAGTATCATCAGCTTCTAACATTCTTTGTCTTTTGAGGACAATCTTCTGATCCATGAATCACAAACCATCCATGAGGTACCACAAGGACGATTTTGAAGCACCGTAAATAATTTTAGGACATATTCTTCCCCCTTCAAAGTCATACAAAACACTGTAAGTTTGAAAACCTGGCCGTAAACTTCCCATATTACCCAAATTGGGATTTGATATGGTTATTTATTCACTGAAGAAATGGCTTACACTAAGTCATGAGACGTCAGAAAATCTAATTTCTCTAGTCATCGGGATATCACAAACATGTTATTATTTGTAATAATCCACCCAATGCTCAATTATCGAGTCAAAGTATGGTAATGATACCTACCATATTACTTAAATTTCTCTCGGTATTAAGCCTTGGGGTTAAGGGTTATTACCAAATGTGCACTGAATCACCACAAACATGCATTTAAATTTCATTGTTTTCAACATGAATTTAATGAGTATAAGTAGTTCAAAAAGGGATAACATTATTCTTTTTTGACTTGTTAGAATCAGCTTAGCTATCCGTCTAATTCTGTCCTGCTTCCGAAATGCCTGCTGTTTTATGTGTCAAAACACCTCGCTCCATTCGAAAGTGATATCTCTTAATCACGAAGCTCTAAGAACCGTACCGATTAATTATATAAGAATACAAACAGTTCATTACTGTAGTAATATTTTACCAACATCAGGAAATATTACTTGTATTCAAGGTGAAAGCTTAAAACTTACCGGTTATCTGACATTTCGTCTTCAAGTTCGCGTACAACAGTGGTTGACAAAAAGTTCGTTTATCGGAAACTGTTAAGTTATTATTATTGCGTTATTTTCTAAATCTTCTCAGGTTTTAAGTAAAGGTGGTGAGGTTCAGTAGAGAAATCGGTATGCAGGATCAAGTTACTAGGCAGCAATCGAACCAGAGTGTACACCACAAAGTATAGAAAGTTTTGTTGTTGTTTATTGCGGTGATTTTGTGATTTCACTGGAGTAACAGACCACTTAAATATAAGAACACTTAAAATCCATGTGACCCAACGGATAACCAGCCAAAACACATAAATTGAAACACGGAATGGCCACCTTGTGTCAGGCTGTTTAAGGTCTTTGAAACGGAACGGCATGTGTCTTTGAGTAAGCCTAACATTTTTACGGTCCCCAAAATGCTAATAACTCTTTTCGACATATCTCAAAAATATATTTAGAACCGTGTTAATTTAAAGACATGTTTAGAAATAAACATTATGGTGCTCTTGTAGTAACCGAGTAACATATATATTGCTGGACAGATCACTAAGTTTCAACAAATGTTCACTAACATTTTTGTTCTCTGTGTATCATAACTGTTTGGAAATATTTCATATGCTCCCATCGCTTCCTGAAAACTCTAGGGATTTTCAAGCATGTCTTCCCTTTGCATCTGTTTGAAATATAACCTTCCGGTATCTAACTTGTTTGGCCTGATTAACAAACCTTCATCTGACGGTGATTTCTCGCTACTCAGTCCTTGGAAACAATCTTGAATAACTAGAATAAGAACAAATTGGGACAGTTAATAAGTAGAAAAGTTATATTCTTCATTCTTTTAGCTCCTCGCTTTTGTCACAAATAATTCCTCCACCATACTTTTAGTATTTTTTTCTCATGAGCAATAGAATTTACTACTTATTCATACTTAAGTCTTTTTGGTGAATGACGGTTGATGACCATTTGTATAGATCTGTCCACTTTAATGCAATACGTCCAGTCAATTCAGTAAAACATTGCGTCGATTATCGCAAAAGATAAAAGTCTACTTTCGTTACTAAATGTCCAGCTTCTAGTATCGTGTGGTAGGCACCAGTAATGCCACATCACCAGGTATCCTAAGGATATTTAGTTTTGAAGCCAGAATTTTTTCCCGAATCTTCTAGGATGGAATAGGTAAATAATCAGAACAAAATAAAAATAAAGTAGAATCTAATGTGTCCAATAGAATGTCCTATCCAAGTCGTTATTTCATTCTGGTATTTGTGTAAATGTTAAGCCTACCTATATGTTAACTGTTTCATTAGCCAGCTTAGTAAAGATTCTGATTAAACGGCGTTCTTACTAATGTATCCGCTAGATGAACCCATGTCAAAGTTAGAAACAGGCAACGGTTACAAACAGAAGTAAGTGGTTCCTTTTGTTACGAAAGGTCTGAAGATGATAGACTCCTGTGAAACTATAGATGCGTTGATACTTGAACACACGTTTCTCGAGGGCGAACATACAGCACCGAAGAAAACGTGGATAAAACTCTGACCA